CTAAACACGAGAATCAGATGATGGTTAGTTAAGCATCAAAATGAGGTCTGCTCACGGACGGAAGAACATTCAACAAACATCAGATGAGGACTACTACCAGAAAGAGACATTGGATTATTAGAAGAAAAGCCAAAGCGAGACTAAACCTGGAACAAGGAAAGCGGTGTCGAACATTAGAAGAAGCCAGATGGTTAACTCTGTCAAAAGAATAGTTAAGGGAAGGCACATCATGAGAACCAGACAATTCAAGAAAACTGAATAGACAAAATACAATATGTGCACCAGATGACTATGAGTCCAATATCAGATGAATGTGTGTCAAGAACAATCTGCAATACAGCGTGAAGAAATAGACCAAGTGTGAGACAAAGATAAGAAACACTCCAGACAAAAACAATGTCTGTCTATTCACATTGTTGACCAGATCAAAGAAAAAGAAAAGCATTAAACTCAGACGCTGAGACATAGGTCAAGATTGAGATGCATAGAACTAATAGACAAAGATGAAGACTGTCACACAAGTAATTAAAGAATCAAGTCTCAAGAGACAAACCAAGGCATCCTCTACAACCACACAAAAGCTCTCAACGTAAAATGCATGATCTAAATGAAGAAAAGAAGAAGAAGAAAAGCACGCAAAAGCAAAAGCATGCATATGTCAGAAAAAGTGCATCACTTTTTCAGAAAAGGACAACAGCTATACTACTGCATGACCAGAAAAAGACAAACAATTTCCAGGCCTTAGATAAATTCAAACACTACTGGCAACAGGATAGAGAAGAATACATGCAATGTCTAAAAATAAGAGGCAACATTTAATGCAAGACCAAATGCATTAAATGAAAGGATCAAACTAGTCATGAACGACTATATCTGCTTCAATGGACACTTGCAACGGGCAGATCCTACAAGACAATATATATATCACTATCTCAAACCTTGGAAGGTTTGCTTCCATGTGTGCATGCTTAACCAAGTGATATCAAGCCCACGAAACAACGAAACCAGAGATAAAGTGTATAGAGTCAAATATGCCATAGTGTATTCATCTCTGAAAACTAAGGAGTTCCAAACATGTACATCTTAGGAACAAAACCTTAGTGAGTGTACCAACTTATGTATCCTCTCTATGAGAGTAAACCAAATACTCAATCGTTGTAAAGACTAAGGTTGCATACCTTAGTGAGTGTAAAAACATATGTATCCTCTCCTTGAGAGTAACCCATACACTCAAACCAAAACTGCCTAGTTGATGATTGTAGAGCTTGAAGAAGCTAGGTAAAGAATACTTGTAAAGCCCGGAGGGGCTTGTCAAAGAATACTCACTACTAGCCAGAAGTGGCTGATAAGAGAATACTAACGCCGGTGAGTGAAGCTGGTGGGCCAGGAGGGGGTCGAGAATACTCACTGCTAGCCAGAAGTGGCTGATAAGAATATACTAGCGCTGGTGAGTGAAGTTGGCGGGCTAGGAGTGGTCGAGAATACTTGGGGAACCAGAAGTGGTTTAAGAATACTAGAGTTGGTGAGTGAAGCTAGCCAACTAGGAGTGGTTGAGAATACTCGTGACTAGGAGTGGTCGTGACAAAGAAGGTCTAGAATACTCAAGGCTTGGAAAGGTCGAGAATACTTGGACTAGGAGTGGTTCTGACCTGGGTGGTCCATAATACTCATTGCTAGCCTAAAGAGGCTAATAAGACCATACTAGCGTTGATGAGTGAAGTTAACGGGCCAGAAGAGGTCGACAATACTTTTGTACTCAATTGCATATTTAGTGGAACCCTTCAGTTGAAGGAGACTGGACATAGCTCAGTTGAGTGAACTAGTATAAAAATGATTGCATTGTTATTATATTTCAAATGCAAATTTTTCTTAATTTACAAATCATGTTAAAGACTTCGTCTACTATCTATTCTTCATTAAAACCATTTTTCAGACGAAGACACAAATTTTGTTTAACAAATATATTATACTAAAAAGTTTTATTTATTGCTTATCCTTAAATGAAACTATCTTGAAAAGAAAATGAAAGAACTTTAATTATTATTATAAACCATCTTCCTCAGCAGACGATAAATCTTTCAAACGTAATAACCTTGTGTTAAGCAAATTCTGCATAACCGTCTGGTATTTAAAAATGCATTGGACGAAGAAGATTACTCTTGCGAAAAAGATTTTAAAATTCCTTCGTACTCACACACATATTCAACCCCCCTTCTATGTGTTTTTCATGTCTAACTTGATTGATGATATAAATGTATAAATCATGTTTGAGCCTATTCAAAAGGATATTGTATTCATTGTAATAGATATAGGCTTGTGTGTGTGTTTGTTTATGTTTGATGATGATAATGAATGCTTAATTCAAGAACCTGTCAAGTTTTTAAAGAAACCAACAATTTTCTTTTTAAGTATTTCCATAAGTAAACATAAAGTAATAGATTATCTTGAAAAGGGTAATTAACTACCAAGTTTTTAAACATAGAAATATGACTTGATTCAAACAAGAGTTTTCAAGGTAACTATGTTAATCAAATTATCATTCAGGGTAATAGATAGATTACCAAACCTGTTACTGGAAAATGATATTCAAATGTCCTCTATGTTAATAGATTACCATGTCTATTACTGGAAAAATGTTTTTCAAAGTACTCTTTGAGGTAATAGATTACCGAAGTTGGTAAAAGACTAAAACAAAGTCTCTTGCTTAGAATCAAACTGAAAAACAAAGTTTTTATTGTGTTAATCGATTACCACTAGAGATAACCGATTACTATAGAATGAAAGGCAATTATGGGACAGTTTTATGTTTCTAATTCAATTTTAAAGAGTAAGTAACAGATTACCATCACAGGTAATAGATTACTTTTGTTATTGTTCTTTATAACTGAATCACGTCTTGCATTCTATAAAATCAATCTTTTTGAAATTAAAAATAATTTTTAAGAGAACTTTTTGAAAATCTTTTAGAAAGAAAACATTTGAGAAAATGAATACTTTCAGAAGCAAGATTAAAAGTGTTTCAAAAGAAATTTTCTGAAATTTCAAGACGTGCAAAGATAGAAAATGAATTCTTGAAAGAAGAAATTCAAGAACTGTATTCAAGAGTGAAAGATCAATCACTACAAGAAAAATCAGCATTATCTACAGAAAAAATCCGTAGATAATGATGAAAATCCGTAGATAACTGATAATTATCTACAGATTATCTACGCAAAAAAATCCGTAGATAATAAGGTCGTAGATAACGTTATCTACGGAAAATTTTCCGTAGATAACATTATCTACGAATTTTATCTATGGATATACAATTTACCTACGGAAAAGTTTATCTACGGAAATTTCCGTAGATAAGTTACCTATGGAAATTTCCGTAGATAAGTTACCTACGGAAATTTTCGTAGGTAACTTACCTACGGAAATTTCCGTAGATAAGTTACCTACAGAAATTTCCGTAGGTAACTTACCTATGGAAATTTCCGTAGATAACTTATCTACAAAAATTTCCGTAGATAAGTTACCTACAGAAATTTCCGTAGATAACTTACCTACGAAAATTTCCGTAGATAACTGATTTCAACATAACATGAATTGTTTTGTTTACCTTTCCACACCAATCTTTATAAATAGTTTTACCTTGTCAGAAATATTAATAAAATCACTTCTCAGGTTTCTTTAAATATTCTATAACCACAATATGAAATCAAACATCTTTAAAATCTAAATACCCATAGCAATTATGCATAATTAGTTTCCATGTCATAGTGTAAAATAAGAATATTTTTGCATAAAATTATACATAATAAAATATTTAAATAGTTGTGGATCCATAATCTAAAAAAAACATCTAACTAATAGTCATCTCCATAGTGTCCAGTAGGTGGTGGTTGTTGGTCATCGTGGTTGTCATGAAATTGTTGATCCACTTGTTGTTGCAAAATATGTTGTGTATCAGAAGGTAGGAGAGGTAAAACAGCATTGAACAGGGATTGAAACTGGCATTGCAAGCGTTCATTTTGTTCCCTAGATTGACGAGCCTCCTCTCTAGATTGACGAGCCTCCTCCCTAGACTTACGGACATGCTCTTCCAATTGAATAATTTTGTCTGAATCTTCAGTAGCACGAGCAGAAGATATATTTGTGAAGGTATCCACCAATGTCAATGGAGGAATGACTTTTCCAACCCCATAAAGTCTTCTTTTGTCTGTAACCCCACCAGCAGCAACAATCCAACTTTTATTGCGGAGTCTTTCTTCCTGAACTGGGTCCATAGAAGACGTTTCAGAACCTCCCATACAAGATGCAGCCTTAGACCTAGCTTGATTAAATATAGTCTCAAATTGATCCTATTTCACAAATAAAGATGTTTAGAAGTGACATTTATCAAAGATGATTAGAATTGAAAAGAATAAAGCAATAATACGAAAAAAATAACTCACATATGTTCGCTTAGATCTTTGGTCAACAAAATCACCCGTAAGCTTCCATACAGCAGTTTGGTGGAACAACTCATCAACATGTGGAAGGCGACCCAACTCTTGTGACTATAATTGTATAAATAGTTAATCATTATATTTCTAAAATTATATTAAATAAAATATATTAGTTTAATGTAATTACCATCCGCATAGCATGCTCGTGATGGGTGATGGAGCCACCTATGTGCAGACTTCCACCTTTCTCAGATGCTCTATTTTTTTGAGCTTGGATACTCTTTGTTTTAAACTCTGGGGCCATCCACTGGGTAATCAAACTCTGCCAAACTGTATCAAAGATCCAATCAGACTTCTTGTTTATTTGACGAGCTTTCTTGAACATTTCAGAAAGCCTATGAGATGCTTTTGTGTGAAATATTTTTTTTATCTTATCTTAATGTTCAGGTCTCCATGAAACTTTTTTCTGCATTAACAGAATAAAGAAGCAATTAAATTATTCATGACTACAAAATTAGTGCATTTAACGTAATCCCTTTAGAACAGAATGATAATAAACAAATTATGTACCTTAAAACGCTGAAAGAAGATATCTTTTTGTTCTTCCTTCATTGCACCCCGAGTCATCCATGGCTCAACAAATTGTTGCTTAATAGTCAATGTGATTGCCTTAGATGCTACTCTGCTTGGATAAAACCTAATTAATGAGGAAAAAAAATTAAATCATTTCAATGATGGGGAAGAAAAAATAGGATTTAGAAAGCAAAAATTATAAGTTTTACCCATCATTACAAGGCTCAATCATTGGAAGAACAGACCCAGCTGGTGGATCTTCATTGTTGAATGGTGATGTATCATTGTTGGACACTTGCTCTTCATCTCCAGTAGGAATTTCAAAAAGTCTGGAGGGTACTGACATTGGTGATGCATTGCTACTAGGTTCACAATGTGAAGCTCTAGAAGAAGGTAACTGATTTTGTTTTTGGGAGCATGTGGGTTCAGCATTTTGGGTTTGGGGTAATGGGGGTGTAGCAATTTGGGTGTTAGGAGGTATGGTTCTAGCATTTTGGGTTTGGGGAGGTGTGCTCGTAGCAACTTCTGTTTGGTGAGGCATGGGTGCAGGGATTTCAGTTTGAGGAGTTATGGGCTCTAAACCTACAAGTGGCTGGGTTGTTTGTTTAGGTAGTCTAAGAACATACCTTGGTTTTTTCCCCTTTTTTCCTTTGTTGCCACCAAGTGAAGGACATTGGGGAAACTTATCAGCACCTCCTGATGCCATTATCTGCAAAAAAAACAATTTAACAAATTGTGGTCATTCAATATTTAAACATTTCACAACATAGAATTAAACATGATTATGTTACCTAATGGTTTTTAAAACATTATAATTAAATACTATGTAGCAATTAAAACAATGCAAATATCAAGTGATTACTACGAGAAACAATATATATTGGTTTTATATAAATATTAATTAAACATTGATGTTACAATTGAACATGATATTTGCCTACTCACAATTTCTATAATAGATATAATCCTAGTCAGACGAATCAGAATTCTCATTATCCATCTCCATTTCTTCATTGTCCTCTTCGGAATCATAGTCTTCAAATTCTCCTTCTTCATCATCATAATTTTGCTCCAAATCATTGTCTTCAAATTCCCCTTGTTGAATATGTTCTTCCAAATGAACAGGTTGTATCTCGGATGGTTCATCTTCTTCTTCAACAAGAATTTGTGAATCTTGGAAGCCTAAAATAGGTTCTACTTCTATGACTTCATTGACATGTGACACTTGGTCTACTTGGTACGGTACATCGTCCTCCACATGACATTCTATACGACCTCTAGGCTTTGTTTTAATTGGCACACACCAACCGCGTTTATCTATTCGTGATGTTGGATATGGGACATAATAAACTTGCCTTACATTATGAGCAATAATAAATGGATCATATGCCACATATCTTCTATCCATGCGAATATTGACAACATTATATTTGGGATCTACTCTTGTACCTCTTCATGATGGATCATACCAGTCACAATAAAATAGCATGACTTTCTTGGGAGAACTTGAACTATTGTACTCTAGTTCATATATGTGTTGGATGACCCCATAGAAGTCATCATCACCTCCTTCAGTAAGCCCTTTGACATAAACTCCACTGTTTATTGTCTTTTTACCTTTGACATAAACAAATTCTAAAAATACAGCTATAAGAATATGAAGCGTTCATGCAGTTTCCAATATAAATACATATCTTTTTTATTCAAAAGAATCTTTTGTCACATTGACGCTTAGCACTAGAAATGACGCTTAGCGTGGTTTCTATTATCAGAAACTCTGTAGTTTGCGATTTTCATTTTTACATCCAATCTTCAATTTATTTATACAATTAGTGAAAGTGTTCGCTACCAGAGAGTAATCTTAACTCTCTGGTTAAGCCACGCTAAGCGTGGAATATCATGCTCAGTGTGGACCACGCTAAGCCTCATGTTCACTCTTAGCCTGAGGATCACAAACAATATTATCAATCTTTTGTCACATTGACGCTTAGCACTAGAAATGACGCTTAGCGTGGTTTCTATTATCAGAAACTCTGTAGTTTGCGATTTTCATTTTTACATCCAATCTTCAATTTATTTATACAATTAGTGAAAGTGTTCTACATCATGTAATAAACATTAAAAACACTATAATTTGCTCAAACAATTACATCTTTGAATCATCCTCTCTTACAACTACCAATGCATTCCCCTAGGGTTTCCCATAGGAACCCATAGAGATCTCAAATCATACAATTAGAATTCTAAAACTGAAATTAATCATTCATTCAAGCAATTCATACAATTAATTACATACAAGAAGAACAACAGGTGAAACAAACACAATTGGGGAAAATCCCTCATACATGAGCATACAACAAACACAAGATTGGGGGTCAATCCCACTACCCAACATACATTCCCACACCTAGAGTGAGGTTTCTCACTCCCCCTTACCCTGTTGAGCAAAGAAAGACAAATGATTAACTCTGGGGTGTTTTCTTCCTTCTTTCGGTTCTCTAAGATCTAAAGCAAAAACGCGTACATAAGAAAAATGTAAAACATAAAACTGATCAGTTTTCTCTCTTTTTTTCTTTTTAAAACTTAACATTCCTATAACCCTTTAGTAAAACTATGAACCATGGTTATCAAAAACAAGTTCCCTTCCCTTATTATAAATAATTAAATAATATAACCTTTAATTATAAAACCTCACAATATATATATATATATATATATAT